CAAAATGGCGGAAAGGTATTTTAAACACAAATGTGAAACGAAATTGCCATAGAGAAACTAGATGAAAATATGAACAAAAGCACCAAATTTTGCTTGAAGAAAAGAACTAAATGAAAATACAAACAAAAGCACCAAATTTTGGTTGAAAGTCTGGCAGGACTGGGCTTTGGCGAGAGAATATCATGTTGACATGTGCGTATCCAATTTTGTCATGCTAATAATAAACAAGTAATCATGCGATGTTGCTCGTACAATTAGGGATTAATAGTACTCGCCATCGCATGATTACCTATACTAAATTTAAGTTGCAGAATTCTAACACATTCCTGTCCATTAGAGATGGCCAAATGATGTAAATAATATAGTTTTGCCAGACACCAGATGGTACTGGATACTACAGTATAATAGCCTACAGATACCAGTCAGGAAAAAAATGATAGCCTGGTACTGGATAATAGTCAGATATCAGATTCTAGTTGTGATGCTTCACCCATCTTGGTTTAGGCCGGCGAACGGCGAATTTCGCCAGCGCTAAGAAGACATGTGACAGCCATTCGCCAGAGGCTGTGTGTAATTCGCCGGTACTTGCAGTCATGACAAGCTGAAATTTTTAGCCCAGTCTTGCACTCAGATAATATACCAAATACATAAAGCTTCCCTTTGCCCACCACTCAACTCACAGCGCCCTTGAAGCTTCGACCTCCCATTCTTTGCATACTCGCTACGCTCATCAATTAATAGCCGGAGCCTCAATAGAGCAAAACAGTATTGGCCATACCCAAATTATTATTAGCCAGGACTTCAAATGGATACCTGAAGGGCTGTTAATATATATATATATATATATATATATATATATATATATATATATATATATATATATATATATATATATATATATATATATATATATATATATATATATATATATATATATATATATATATATTGCCTCTCAGAAAATCCCCCCCACCCCATGGCTTTTCTAATGGTCCGTCCCTAACGACTTTTAATACTCCAAAATAATAACTAGGGATCCAAGGATAGTGTGAAGTTTCAAATTGAAAAAGACACTGCAAGAACTATATAGGGTCGCCGACAACCTAGAAAAGCTGATGGCTTACACTACGAAATAAACAGTTACCAAAGGCATTTCATCTCATTATTTATAGACTTGCTCCAAGTCTCTCTTTCATTGTCATATCGATCCACTATAGTGTACATTACATGACGTAGCACGGAGAGGCGGAGCGAGAAAGAGAGACTTGTCAACTTCGGAAAATCTCGGTTCAAAACTGAACCGAAAATGCAAGACTTGCTTTAATTGTTTTCCTTCAATTTCTTTATGTATTATTTACTATAATGAATTCATGTTATTTACACTGCTAGATCAATACATATAAATACTGACAGAAAACGAAGTTGACAAGTCTCTCTTTCTCGCTCCGCCCCTCCTTACTACGTCATGTAATGTACACTATAGTGGATCAATACTATATGTCAATGAAAGAGAGACTTGGAGCAAGTCTACATTATTTATTGCTTTTAATGCGCTCGGCACACGAGTAGCGTGACGTTTGAAACAAGCCTAACACATCAGAAACATGCCTTATGAAACTGATGCAATTTATCTACTTATTGTGATGCTACACGCGACAATTCGAAACTTAAATTGTTTCACCAACAACCAAATTTTGCATATTCTAAATTTTCATTTGCATTTGCAGCTGTCGCTGAAAGCATCCCCACGAGGCTACTGCTATGCTAAATTTATCTAATAAACTATAATTGAAATAGCTGTATAAGATATGTTATGAATAATAAGCACTACGTCGTTACATAATTAAAAGACGCATTTTATCCGTTCCGTATTTTATCAGCATATCCGTTCCGTGGATCCGCTCCATCCGCTTCCGCATTTTAACCTAATTGTGACATGTTTCACAATAACAAGTCTCATTGACCTTTGACTTTTCCAAGTGTCACGTTGTGTCTATTTTCAGCTTTTCGCATGTGTTGAATAATGTCACTTTACTCTTTAGATTTCAATAGTTTTACAGTTAAGCAGTGTTTAAAGCATTTTTGACAAGCTTTGATACAATTCTGTGTACAGAATACTACAGATTGATTCTCGTACGATCTGGCAGAGTTATCGTTGCACTGAACACGAATTTGCACCGTTGACAACGGCGTTGTGCTAGACAGTAAACAAACACAAGGACCGTGACGATACACGTTGGCTACATGTACCTCCTTGCTTTTTTCTTCTATTGCATAAAGCTTGTTGGCGAGCCAAGCGATTGGCGATAACACGTTGGTGATAACACATTGGCGATAACACACTGGCTATCTCCTCGACTTTCTTATTTATTTAAAGAGCTCTGACTCAACTGATTTCTTTAGTCTCGCAACGTCAAACGTTTACCCGCTTCTGTTTTATAATAGTTGTTTTTGCTTTATTGATCTGATACAGATCTGACGCAATTTTTCGCTCTTTGTACTGAGTGTAGCCATCTATTCTGTGATGTAGCACGTACCTTATACAGTCAATGACAATGTATAATGAATACACGGTCTAAATAATATCGACGGTATAAATGAATAACACCAATTTATATATTGTATTACTATTATTGCGTAGAATCTCAAAGATTTTCTCAATATTCATGTCTGTCATTGTCTGAAATGTTTATATACTTGAAAACAACACTGTCTCCCTTCTGCCTGCACGTACTGTACCTCTGTATAAGAGTATGCCGTGAAAATAATATCGGCACTCAATCGAATGCCTAGAATCAAGATTTTCGACTCAATATATACGTCTGAAATGTTTGTACACTCCGGACTGCACTGTCTAGCTCCTTCCTAGCTCTGTATAATGAATATGCCGTCTAAATATTATCGACACTTAATTAAACGCCCGTAATGCATAAGATCAATTTATATATTGCGTACATTTTCAAAGATTTACTCAATATATATTCACGTCTGAAATGCTTATATACTTGAAAACAACACTGTCTCGCTTCTGCCTACGTACTGTACCTCTGTATAATGAGAATACCGTGAAAATAATATCGGCACTCAAACGAATGCCTAGAATCAAGATTTTCGACTCAATACTATATTTACGTCTGAAATGTTTATACACTTGACTGCACTGTCTAGGCGGTCTAGCTCCTTCCTAGCTCTGTATAATGAATATACCGTATAAATATTATCGACACTTAATTGAACGTCCGTAATGCATAAGATCAATTTATATATTGCGTAGATTTTCAAAGATTTACTCAATATTCACGTCTGAAATGTTTTCTATACATCTGAAAACAACACTGTCACTCCTTCCTAGCATATCGTCACGCCATCGTGATATACGGCTTGATAGCGCATGCGCATTTGCGCTACTAAAGAAAAAATCGGGTGTTCCGGGGTAAAGATCCTTTACACAACATGAGAAGCGAATGTCTAAAATTTACCAAAAAATTACAATAACGAAAGCGATTCCTCGAAATTTTTGTGAACTTGGTAAAAGGATAACAGAATATGTAAATAAGTTAACTGAAATTGCCTAAATAACTTTAAAAGTACTGATTAGGTACAATAAATCATAACGAACATAAATCGTATACACCCCCCGGAAAGTTTACTCTATGACTGATTCGTGTGAATTCGCTAGCCATCACAATAGTGTGAAACTTCACACTAAAAATTAGCAATCATCGTCTTTGTGCAACAATTGTTGAAACTAGATCAAAACTACTTTGAACCAAAGAAACACAAGCTACGGAGATAGACTGTTTAATTAATTGAAAACCTTCTTACAGCTGTTAAAATTAAGTAGCATTGTGCCCTAATGCAACCTATGTACTGTGTTATTTTTTGCTCTGTCTAGCACCAGGCGATTTTACTTGTGAAGGGGAAAGTGGTGGCATTCAATGGGTTAATTAGAATATCCGTCGACATGTGTAGTTCCCATTAAGGCAGATTTACACTACACAATGTTTACCTAAAACTTTCACATATATAACCTGCTTACAACTCAAGGTGGCATGCAACAGTTCGGTAGTGCAAACTGGTCTTTAAGTTAAGTTGCATTGCAACGTAAATAATAACGTAATACTCCATATTCTGCTATTTTACTGTGTTTAACACCAGATGATTTTGTTCGTCAATGGGAGAGCACTGGCGCTCAATAAGTTAACTGAATTGAAATTGAATTAATCCTTTAAGTGACAATGTGCCCAGATGCGCCCTACTTTATTATTTTACTCTGTCTAACACCAGACAATTTTACTCGTCAGGGGGAGAGTGCTACCACTCAATGGGTTAATCGGACTATCTGCCCATGCACCCTGTTAACCCTTTACGT